GGCGGTGGTGGTAAAGAGTGCAAGACTTAACAAAAAATTCGACGGAAAAAAATGAGTTCCGGTATCGGAAGTTTAGTGAAGGTCATCTTCAAGAACTTCGACGTCATTGCCGGGTAAATTAATATTTAGCCTAATTATTTTCTCGTTTCCATTTTGTTTTCCCAACTAATTTGGTCCTTTTTTTTTTGTGTGTGTGTTGGTGTGTGCAGACCTGTGATTAGCTTGGTTTATCCTCTGTAAGTCCATTATAAATTTTACTTTCTAATTTACTCGTTTGAGAAATGGTCAAATCTTAAGCTCTTTTTTTTTTTGGATTATACAGATACGCGTCAGTAAGGGCAATAGAGTCGAGGACTCATGGAGACGACAAGCAATGGCTCACTTATTGGGCTCTTTACTCACTTATCAAACTCTTTGAGCTCACTTTCTACAGGCTCATCGAATGGTAAATTTAAACACAACCTAAAGATCCCTTGATATGCAAGCTACTATTTCTATAAACAGAGTAGATCATATGTTAAATCATCGGAGTCTTGGATTTCGTCGACCGATTTTATTATGATAAAAAAAAATGGTATGATTGAATCAGAGGGTCCGTAGTTTTAGCTTTCTTGAAATCCAAGTAACGTGCTTTAGTTCTCGAACGAGCTACTAACAATGTTTATGCCTAGACCGGCTTGACGAGATTAACCGAGTTACATATGTAACGGTGGTTTATAGATCTCCATATAGTTGTGGGCTCATTCAATTATATTGACTAAAAGTTTTGAGGTTGATGGTATGATCAGGATCCCGTTATGGCAATACGCCAAGCTAGCCTTAACTTGTTGGTTGGTCTTACCGGGCTTAAGCGGTGCTGCTTATGTCTACGAGAACTATGTGCGTTCATTCCTTTTAAGCCCAAATAATATTAACATATGGTACGTGCCCGCTAAGAAGGACGAAGACGACTTAGCAGCGGCTGCTGGGAAATTTACTCCGGTAAATGAGCCTCTTGAGAAGTGTGTTAGCACGGTATGATCTCTTAATTAACCCTCTCGATCGAAAACCTTTTTTGTGGCCTGGATGTTCGATCTTGAGACTCAATTTGTTGATTTGTTTCTATCTTCAGGTGGATACATCGGCCAAATATGTTGGTCACTCAGCCTTTGATGATACCTATACCTACTAAGTAATACTACTATAGATTGGTTGTGGCCGTTACCGATCTGAGTGTGTGATATATATACTTTGTTTTTACTTTGTTTTTATCATGGCCGGTTTTATGTTGTTGTTGGTACTGTTAAGAAAATTTAATATCAAAATAATGTATTTGCGTTGGTAATTTTTCTTTATGTCGTAAAGATCAGAGCACAACTATATTTGCCAACTAAAAAGGTAAGGGACTAGAGTAGAGTAACGTTACATAGATTTAATTGAAGGTATTAATTTTGACATAGATTTAATTGAAGGTATTAATTTGCCAACTCCGGGAATTTACGACTGTATTGTTTTCTTATTCGATCAAATGACCAAAATGCTGGTTCCTATAATAATGGCAAAGCTACGAAATCGTGGTAAAGAATCTCACAATAAATTAACCAGGCCTATAAAGAGGAGAAGAATCAAGAGCTGCTTTATCCAAATATTCGTTTTCTTTACACGTTAGTAAACATTTTGTTGTTGACCAAAAAAAAAAGGTAAACATTTTGTGTTTTGGTCTGTAGGTAATTTGTGTACAAAAATTTGAGGAATTTGAGTAGATAACCTTTTTTCAAATTTTAATGTGCCCAAGTAACATCTTCCCACTTTTCCTATAACAACTAACATTTTTTATTTTGGTTGGGATAATTATGTTCCTCAGTAGATTCTTTTTTTTCTTTCTGGATCTTAGTTCTTATCGCAACTGAGACAGGTCTTGAGTTGATTGCAACTCGAGATTTATAACGGCGATTAGGGATTAGGAATTTGGAACTTGGATTAAGATTTATATTACATTTTGAGAACAATATCGTTGGAAATTGTTGAATAGTTTTATAAACTTTGAAATCCTATATCTCCTCTCACAAATCAGTGACACATAAGTACTCCTAATTTTGACACATCAGGTTTGACCAAAAGAAAAATAAAAGGAAAAAAATCACATGAATCGTCTTTTTGAATATTGCAATAGGTTTGTCGACTGCTTTAAATTTCATCTTGGAACAGAGGATGGCAACTTGATTTAATTCTCATCAAAGTGAAGCCTCTTCGTCTACCTTTTCCAAATACTATAAACTTACTTTTAGGCCTTGATTGTTTGTAGTTTTTGGAGTGGTTTTTAGTTTTTGTTTTCCCGAAAATCTATTTTATAGCCATTCAAGATTTTGTCAAAAAAGTTTTCCTATAAAATCGTTTTTTTTTTTCATTTTATATTTTATCAATTTGGTAAATAACAATAGCAGCCATCAAAATTTACTTAAAATTTCATTTTTCATATTTAGTTAAACATATAGGAGTATATCTTTGTGAGTTTTGTTTTTTATACGAAAGATTATTTCATTATATTGTTACCTTTTGTTAATCAATTTTTAAATAGATATATTTAGTATTTTTAAACAATAAATAATAAACTAAAATCCAAAAACTACTCAAACATTCATGGCCTTACACTCCATCCAAGTCATCTATATTGAAATTCTGAAATTCACACTGAAACCACATCCTTCGCCACTGTGACTATAAATTTATTTGGTTACTCTCCTTAATTTCTCAAGTAATTGCAGTTGGAAAAGAATTCCTTGGTTTAAGAAAGAGGCCTACGGTGTTATTGGAATTTGTCCAATTGATTGCAGATCAATGTTCAATTCAAGCATATGACTGAAAGGAAGATTAGATTCAAATCATTCAATCTCTTCAGCCTAAACCCGCTGTGAGCCTCATGTTCGTTTTTTACCCTTTCTTTCTTTCAGTTTGTTGACGTTTTGTTTCCTTCAGAATTTAGGTTTTGTTGATGACGACGACGACAGTGGATCCGACGGCTATGGTGATCGAACATAAACGTTTGATGATAATTGATGTTCAAAGAACATTTTGTACTCTATCTCTCACATTCTTTTTTTCTTTTTTTGTTCGTTGTTTCAACTCAAAATTAGTATTTATCATTTGTCTTGACCATGATATATGAGGAATTATATAGAATCAAAAGTTGGAGGATGTTGCAGAAAGTCTTCACAAACTCAAAAGAAAAAAACCAGATAATTGTGAATCGTTTAGAGTAACTAACAATCGAGGAAAAAATATTGGTAAAAAAAACATAACCTTGGAAAATATCATTTTATTCTCACACATATTTTACCAAAATATGAAGAGAAATTTCAAAAAATTCCATTTTTCAAGTGTCATTTTACAAAAATGCCACACTTTTGAAATCTTTACAAAAATGCTATTTTTTCAAAATTATTTTTTCTTTATATTATTTATATTTGGATTAATTATGTTCTATTAGGGTTTAGTTATGAAGGTTTAGGGATCAAAACATTTTGAGGGTTTAGAATTTTAAGATATAGGCTTTATAAATCTATAATTAATGGTATTTTTGCAATTAGACACCCTAAGTGACAAAATGTGACATTTTTGTAATTGTCCCATAAATTTGAATATGACATCAAAACATTAAATGACTAATATGACTTCATAAACAAAATATAAATTAATGAATTTTCATACAATATCAATCAAAATACTCTATC